GAACACTACACTTGTCTTCATTTACTCTGTATTAATGTCCCCTGACATTAAATGGTCCTTCGAAACAATTATTGAACTGAGTAATAAATTGTAATTAACGATAAAACCTACGACGACATAAAAACATTGTTTTTTTTTTTTTAAAAAACAAATCATAAAAGTAGCAAAATGACTACAAACGACGAAAGCAGCAGTGAAATGCAGCAAAAAATAGAAGCGCAACGTGTTCGTTCTCACCAGTTTGCGACTTTCAAACGAAATTATGGCAAAGATAATAGTCAACGGAAAGCACAAGACGGCTATTACGAAAAAAAACTTAAGAAATTGAAAGCATGGTGGGATGAATTTACCACAGCTCACAATGAAATTTTAGCTTTTGAGGAGCCCAACGATGAATATATTAAGAAAGATATATATTCAATTATGAAAAGTGACTACGATGTTATGTGTGCTAAAATAGAGAAAGACAAACAAGATAAGATATCAGTTGAAATTGCTTCGTGTTCATATAACGGAAGTAGTACGCGTATTAATCCAAATAATGAAATCAGAATAGAAGACATTTTAAACGATGATGATGAAAGTGATAGAGAGATTTCTATTAATGGTGCATCAGATAATTTGCAAACAAATGAAGTGCGCGTATTGATATTTCAGTACAATGAAATAAAAGCTTCGCTAAATGAAATTAAATCCGGTAACATTTCACGCGGCATTGCTAGTGCACAATTGGACAATATCAAAGAATTGTGGTCAGAATTTCGTGTTGCGTATCGTACAGTATCGATTACTCACGAAAGACGTTTTTATGAGCAAATCAATTTTAATAGACTACAACAAGAATACATTCTTTCGTGCGGTAAATTGAATGAAATCATTAACGAAAACGTTAGCAAACGTGGAATTTTGTTACCAAAAATCGAGTTGCCCAAATTCGATGGAAAATCTTGGCTGGAATTCAAGAATTTATACAATGAAGTAGTTCATAATAATCAAACCATTTCGAACGGTATAAAAATACAGTATTTGAAAATGAGTTTGAAAGGTGAAGCGGCCGCAATTGTTAATCATTTGGGCCCACATGAAGATAATTACGAGGCAGTGTACGATTTGTTGGTCCGACGATATGACAACAAAAGAAAAATTGTCAGTGAATTATTAGAAAAAATTTTTAATTTACCAAAGCAACATAATGAGTCAGGAGCAGCACTTCGACATTTATACGATACAGTAAATGAGTGCTTAATGGCGATAAAAAACTTGAATATTCCGACGAGCGAGTGGGACCCTATCATAATACATGTGTTGATGAAAAAATTGAATAAGACAACGATCATTGATTATGAGGGGAAAATTGAAAATGTGCGCGAATTAGAAACCTTAAAAAATTTTTTAGGGTACATCGAAAGTCGTTTTATGGCATTGATATCTGCTGAAAGAAATGTTGAAAAAAGTGACGAAAAACTAAAAACTGAGAAAGACAAAAAAAGTACACCGTTTAATTGTGTTTATTGTGACAAAAATCATTCGATTTACAAATGCGAAGAGTTTTTGAAATTGGAGCCTGTTCAGCGATTCGAATGGGCTAAACAAAAAAAAGTGTGCTTCGTGTGTTTGCAATTGCACAAGGTGGGAGAGTGCAAAAGTAAATTCAACTGCAAAAAATGCAACAAGAAACATAATACGCTTTTGCATATAGAGAAAAAATTTGACATGAAAACATCAGCAAATATCGCAATAACCACTGAGAGCAATGACATCGAAACAATGAACACAAATTCAACAAGCTTAAATGAAGAGCGAGTTAATGCATTATTGGCAACGAGAGATCAAGACAATTTGTTGGCAACAGCAAGAGTGAAAGTGAAGTCTAAAATTGGTGAAAAAATGGACGCGCGCACAGTGGTTGATAACGGTTCACAAAGTGCAATGATTACCGAACGATTGGTGCAAGTGTTGGCATTAAAACCAGAAATTGTGTATGTGAAAATTGACATGGTTGGTGAAAAAAATCTGCAATCCTTCAAGCGTGTAAAATTAGAGATATCATCGAGATGGGAAAATGGTTATGCATTCACAACGTACGCATTGGTTATGAAGAACATAACACGACTCAATGTTTTCAAGGGTGATTTGTTGCAGTATCCGCATTTGCAAAATCTGAAGTATGCGGACCCATCAATAGATTCAAATGATAAAATTGATCTGTTATTGGGAGTAGCAGATTATTCCAGAATTGTAGAGACCGGCGTGATAAGAGCCAGTGATGAGGAACCAATAGCCCAAAATTCAAGATTGGGCTGGCTCATCATGGGACCACAGGCAAATTTGGATGTGACGGATTTAAATTTGACAGATAAGATGAACCCGATCAAAAAAGTAAAAGTAGACGTGATGCTAACAAATGTAGAAGTGGTGAATAAAATGACGAAATTTATGGACGACGAGAATTGCGATGATTCAGATGATAGTGAAGAGGAAATGACTGAAGAAGAAAAGTTTTGTGAAGAGTTTTACAAGAAGACAACAAGACAAAATGCAGATGGTCGATTCATTGTTTCTCTTCCATTTAAAAACCAAAAATCACCAGATTTGGGTGATTCACGAAAGATGGCAATGGCAACTTTATTTCAATTGGAAAAGCGAATGGCAAAAAACAACGAGTTCAAAATGCTATATAAAGAGTCTATCAATGAAGCAATCAAATTGGGACATATGGTACTGATCAAAGATGCACCGATGGATGGACATTATATCCCGCACCATGCAGTAATGAAAGATAGTACAACCACAAAGTTACGACCAGTTCATAATGGATCAGCCAAAACGTCCAACGGTAAATCATTGAATGAACAAATGGCCATCGGAAAAATCGAGCAGACAAGCATTTTTGAACTGATGTTAAGGTGGCGAAAAAATAAAATAGCAGTGATAGCAGATTTGGAGAAAATGTATAAACAGATTCAAATCGACAAAACGCAATATAAATATCAGCTAGTGTTGTGGCGAGAGAATCCAAATGAGCCAATTAAAACATACGCATTAACGACTGTAATTTTTGGGTTGAGCGGATCACCGTATTTAGCGATGCGTACATTGAAACAGTTGGCAATGCAAGTAGCTAAAAAATATCCATTAGCGTCACGTGCTATAATGGAGAATTTCTATATGGATAATTTTTCTGGTGGAGCGGAATCCGTAGCGGACGCATCGAAATTGTGCAACGAATTAACAAAAACATTCGAAGCGCTCAATTCAATCTTCGTAAATTTGCAAGTAATTCGAAAGAATTTATGGAGACGATTCCAATCGAAAAGCGAGAGATAATCAAAGAAGAGATAATAGTGTCTTTGGGAGTAGCATGGAATTCGGTAAAGGACACTTTTTCGTTAAGGATAAACATGAGTCAAGAAATTCCCACAACGAAACGAGAACTTTTTTCGCAAATATCATCTTTATATGACCCGATCGGATGGGCAGCACCAGCAATACTAAAAGCGAAATTGTTAATGCAAAAAACATGGAAGGAGAGTGGACAGTGGGATGAAAAATTGCCGAAAAATATCATTGATGAGTGGTGTAAAATTAAAAATGAGATACCATTATTATCAAAATTAACGATCCCACGGTGGATAGAGATTTCTTCAAAACGAAATATCAACATACACGGCTTTTGTGATGCATGTGAAGTGGCATATGGAGCGGGCGTATACATACAAGCAAAATGTGACGATACGATAAAAACAGCATTAGTCGCAGCGAAAACGAAGGTCGCACCGATAAAGAAAAGAGTTACGATTCCGCGATTGGAACTTTGTGGCGCATTGTTGTTAGTAAAATTGATGAAAAAAGTGATTAAAACATTGAACTTAGAAGAAAACAACGTGTATTTATGGTCGGATTCGCGAATTGCCATTGCATGGATTACTAGTAATCCGAAACGATATAAAAAATTCATTGCGTCGCGAATCGAAAAAATAAACAACATAACGAAAAAATCATTTAAAAAAGTAAAGTGGTATCATATAGCCGGAACACATAATCCAGCAGATTGCGCATCACGAGGCGTAATGAGCAGCGAGTTGATTAATCATAAATTGTGGTGGAATGGTCCACAAATGCTACAGGAAAAATTCAATTTTAGTGAACATCCAGAACAAAAGTTTGAAACCGAAAGTGAAACAAAACCAATCAAATTAAACGCGTTAATGACAACAAAAAATAATGAGTGTTTTTTGCCTCAAGCGTCGTCATTTCACAAATTAAAAAAAATAATCGCAATTGTACTGCGCTTTGTAAATAATTGTCGATGTGAATCAAAAGAAAAGAATCAGATTACAGTGAAAGAAATGAATAAAGCAGCGACGACGATATTGAAAATCGTGCAAAACGAAGCGTTCAGCGACGAAATATTGTGTCTTAAACTTGAAAAAAATATAAATAAAAAAAGTAGATTGATCAAGTTGAATATATTTTTGGACAATGACGAAATAATTAGAGTCGGTGGAAGGTTAGAAAATGCGAACATTCCGTTTGATAATAAACATCAAATAATATTACCAAAAAACAACGAAATTACGCGATTGATTATAAATGAAGCTCATAAAATGGCCTTACACGGGGGCTCAAAACTCGTGGAGTCAATACTACGAAAAAAATATTGGGTGATTGACTCACAATCGACGATCAAAAAAGTGTTGAAAAAATGCATGCTGTGTGCAAAACACGCACCAAAACCTATGGAGCAGTTAATGGCTAACCTACCAACTCATCGAGTGAATATGCCATTCAAGATATTTGTTAATACAGCGATCGATTACGCCGGACATTTCATGATCAAAACGTCGACAATACGAAATAGCAAAACAGAAAAAGCCTACGTTGCAGTTTTCGTTTGTATGGCTACAAAAGCTATACATCTGGAGTTGGTCAGCAATTTAACAGCAGAGTGTTTCATAGCAGCGTTACGACGATTCATAGCAAAACGAGGAAAAATCAGCAACATTTTTTCTGATAATGGCTCCAATTTTGTAAAATCAAATAAAATCATTCATGATTTGAGCGAAAGAGAAAAAGAACATTATCAAGGTGTGGTGGACGACGAGTTGTTATCACAAGAAATAGTCTGGCATTTTTCACCACCAGGAAGCCCACATCATAATGGACTGGCAGAAGCGGCGGTGAAAAGTATGAAATTCCACTTGAAAAGATCCATGGGAGAAAAATGCCTGACATTTGAAGAAATGGTCACATTGTTAAATCAAATTGAAGCCGTCCTAAATTCAAGACCAATATGTGCAATGAGCACGGATCCCAACGATTTTGAAGCCATAACGCCAGCGCATTTTTTAAATATGACAAGTATGGAACTATTACCCGACAACAATTATGAAGATGAAAAAACGGGTTATCTGGCAAGGTGGCAGTTAGTGCAGAAAACTTTTCAAAATTTTTGTAAACAATGGAAAAATGACTACTTGAACACGTTACAAGTGCGAAGCAAATGGAACACCAAACAGAAAGAAATAAATGTCAATGATTTGGTAATGGTGAAAGAGGACTCATTGCCAGCAACGAAATGGACTTTGGGTCGTGTAATGAAAAAATATCCGGGCGCCGACGGTTTAACAAGAGTAGTGGACGTGAAAACCGGAAAAAACGTTATAAAACGAACAATAACAAAAATTTCCCCACTACCGCTCGATACAGGAGACGAAAGGGCTAAAGCAATAGCGACAACAACGAATAAAAATACCAACAATATTTTAACATCATTATTGGCGGTGCTCACTTTGGCAACGATGACGAATGCCCACAAATTTTCTATCATAAAAAATGATCAGACAGCAGAAAATCATCAAAACGTAAACCTATCCATAACGAATTCGGAAAATCATGCAAAGCACACAGTTGTGGTGATCTTTTTAATATGTTTGGTTATGTTTCTGCTTTACATACTTCGTATATTGTATAGAGCAGCGACAGCAAAAACAACAATACACCCATCGATGAACGAAGCTATTCAAATGCAAAAAATCACGAGACCATATGCACCAATAGAACCAATGAATTTATCGCAAATGCAAGGAAATATGATACCAACAATAAGCCAGGCAATATTATCTCAAACCCAAGCGACAATACCATGTGTGAAGAATGCGCATTTAAAACAAGTAGAAGAAGAACGAGAATCAAAACGTTTTGAACATTCAACCATGACCATGCCCAATATGAATTATGAGGATGAGACAAAGTCGACAAAAGCAAGCAACCATTTGGATACACCGCGACCAGCAATGAAAAAACAAAATCAAATATCCAAAGAGCAAGTTGTAATTGAGCACAGTGTAGAGAGACGACGATCAACATCGATTTGGCCATGGGAGAGTCTGAATGAAATGCGAGAATTCAAATGCCCCCACTGTAGTCATATTATTGAGGCCCGGGAGGATGTTCAATAAGAACAATTGAAATTAAAAAAAAAAAACAATCCATTGGACATAAATAAAAAATAACGTAAAGTCCAAATTCATATTTTTTGCATAAAAACAATAAAGAGTAAAGTAAAGTCCAAATTCGTATTGTTAGCATAAAAACAAGTAAAGTCCAAATTCACATTTTTAGCATAAAAAAGACAAGAGTAAAATAAAGTCCAAATTCACAGTGTATATTGCTTATCAAGCATTCTACATTACAATCCATACACATGCCCATAAATGGCAAGCCTTTTGGCATAATCAAATGTACTAAATTTTAAGAAACAGAATTAATAAAGAAAGAGTTTTTAGTTAATGTTGAACAGCTGAACACTACACTTGTCTTCATTTACTCTGTATTAATGTCCCCTGACA